CTCAAGCCAAATAAGATTGAATAAATTTGTCATAATGGTCTTAAAAATCAACTTTAATATCAATAGTGTAATCATATAAAACTGGAACTTAATTTAAAGAGCTGAGGCTTTTTACACCTATTTAACTTTCTATATTGGCCTGCGAAGTCTTTAATTGTTACTGTGGTTAAATGGATAACTAAGTGTTGTTTCATAATGACCTATGATCATATGTGACCATGTTTTAAAACCTTTTGATATTTTTGACAAACTTCCCCAAGTCAAATTCCAAATGAAGTCCTTTTTTTTTTGTGAGATCAGCCCTGAGCTAACATCTGCCAATCATCCTCTTTTTTTGCTGAGGAAAACTGGCCCTGGGCTAACATCCATGCCCATCTTCCTCCACTTTATATGGGACGCCACCACAGCATGGCTTGCCAAGCAGTGCCTTGGTGCGAGCCCAGGATCCAAACCGGCGAACCCTGGGCTGCTAGCAGCGGAGCATGAGTCCTTAACTGCTTGCGCCACTGGGCCGGCCCCTAAATGAAGTCCTTTTGATCTCTAGCTAACTTTGAGATTTTTCAGAGTGCCCTTGAAACATCTCGAAAGATTTGCTCTCTCTCTTTATAAAAAGAGAGATGTTATACTAATTAGGCTTATTTGATATGTTAAATTACATGGGAACCATTGTCAAATATAGAAGTAATACTAATCCTTCTTTATGTTGTGTCTGTATAGGTATACGTTATAAGTGTTCCAGAAATTGTGTAAAATTCCTAGAAATCCAATATGTCCTGGTATAATGTTATTAGTCATAATTTCAATTATTATCTTAAAATGTTGTGTGTTATAGAAATAACCAAATTTCCTTGTCAATTCCATTATAATGAACTCTCATCAGACCTCTAACAATGGACATTTAAAAAAATCTTTTGTCATTTATAGACAATTATTATTTTACTCAGATGCTTTTCCAAAAGTGTTCCTGAAAAAGTGTTTTATCTTCAGAGAAACTCATGGAAAGGACTCGGACAAGCATTCTAGAATACAGGTTTCTAGAAACTTTCAGATCATACCACTGAACTGGGTAAGCATTTACAGAACTCTAAGGAAAACTGGATTTGTAAAACTGCTAACAAAAGATTAAGGTCAACAAATATTAACTACCTGGGACTGAATAAACTGAGGAGGATGACTATAAATTTCATAACCTCTTGTTTGAAACATTGCTGGTTCTCTAATGTTTTGCTTTTCCAGATTTAAGGAAATCTTTTCTCTTAAGCTATCTGTGACTGGCAGCAATTTGGTAAAGTATATCTTTGTAAACAAAGATGAAACATTTACTTTTTCTCTCTACCTGATCCCTCCAGAATTTGGAAACACATGAGTATTCTTTTCATGACAATATAGTTAGTTATTTACCTAAGTTCAATGAAAATCTATTGTCCTTGTAACAGGACATAACTATTGGCTATATTACCATAAATATTGTCTATATTACCAAGACTTTGACTGTCATATTTGAGAGAGATGTACATAGACTCAGATATGATCAGAAACCTTTACAGAAATGCTTAGAAAAATTGGCCTGATACTTTGCTTAAAATGTTCCAGCAAAGCAGCCTTAAAAAGAGCTTATTCTTGCCGTATTTATGGAAATAATCAGGCCAAGTTTAATGCAAGCAAATTAGTTTTACTGTGATTATCCTTTAAAAAAAAAAAAGAAATGGAAATAATTGTAGAGAGAAAAATTATGTTTGCACCTTTGTCTATATTCGACTTTAATCTTGTTAACTGTCTTTAAAGTTTTGTTATATACCTGTAAACTGGACTAGATCCCAAATTCTTCTAGTTTCTTCAAATATCTAGACTCGTCAAACTAATGTTTCCAATTTTCTCCCTCCCTTCTGATTTGGAATCAGTAAGAATAAAGACTGTTCTTAAATTTCCTTGGAAGGGACTATACCAGGTCCTCCTCACTACCCAGATGACACCAGACTTCAGGGACTTGAACTTTGGGCGCATATTTCACAACTGAAGAAGGCTCCCCCTGACATCTGGACCAAATGGACTAGGAAGAGAAGTAGCTGATAGTGAGGTAGACTGCTTCCTCCCAAGACACTGGATCAAGACTTCATACTTTAAACATAAAACCCTCTCTTCTCTTTCTTTCATCTACTCTGGCCTTGACCTGGAAAGATAATGCCATCATCGGTATCTCCCAGGCCATCGCAAGGGGGTAGACTTTGCCTTTCAGACTGCTAGATTTGTCATCAAAAACTCCGATGGGTCCATCATGCTAGAATGCATTAACAGTGCCACCTTAGTGGAAGTGGTCTGCGCCCTCAAAGCGTTTGTCCTTCTCTTTGGTGGTTATCATTCTTCTTGGGCCTACGAATGGCTAGATAGCTAGTGCACAGCCGGACAATGCCTCTTAGGTTATCTAACTGTGCCCCTAACTTTCTACAGACGAATTCATTGTTCACCTCATTGGTCAACTCTCCTGGATTTACATCATCAGGTTAAAAAAGACTTACCAGGAGGCATGCATGACTCAGGATTTGCTCCTTTTGGTAGGGTCATACTTCCCTGGTTAGGAGTAAATGTAAATATGATCAGAAACCTCTCCTTAACTCTTGAAGCGATTGCAGAATCCATTGTTAAGACAACAGCTGCCCAACAAAGAGCCTTAGACTCTGAGGCCAAAGTTGTGCTGGATAATAGGATAGCCCTTGATTATCTTTCAGCTGAGCAAGGGGGTGTCTGTGCGGTGACCAACACCACCTTCAGTACCTGGATTAACACTTCTCGGGGAAGTTGCTAACATAAGATCACTGAGCTAGCTGCTTGGCTTAAAAAGGTGACTCCTTCCATGGGGTCTTTCTTTGACTTATTTGATTTTGATTGGTTTTGGTCTTGGGGACCACACCTCCAAAGTGCACTCCAAATACAGGGAATTATCCTGCTTATAATAATCATAATAGTCTCCCTGGTGTGCTGTGTTTTCCCAAAGGCTTTAAATGCATGTTTGCGGCTGCTAACCACCAAGCGAATGAACTCTCCAAGGTTGAAACATCAGAAAAGGAACGAAGATGACAGCTGACTTAAAAATTGTGAACCTGAAGTTGTGGCCTGTGAGTACCACCAAGATTAAACAAGAAAAAAATGTCATGACCTGTGAATACCACACAATGAATCAACAAAATTTCACAAAAGTTTCGAGAACTACAAAGTGGTAGCCGAGAGTGGCACTAATGCCTTAAATTTTGACCACACCTCTCAGGTAAGCTGAGAGTCTGGTCAAATGGGGGGAATTGTTGAAAAGGAGACTACAGCCCCAAAATGGAGTCACTCACGCTAAGCTCCATCAAACCTGAAACCTAAACTAATTGCAGTTTCAACCAACCAAGGAATGTGACCTTTAACTAGCCAACCTGGAATTTCCTGGTCAGGCCTAGAAGGTTATCCACCTTGCCTAAAACAATGCGTTCTTTGCTAATAATTTCCTCTTTTCTGCTCCCTCCCTGCCTTGACAAACTTTTCCTTTTTTGCAGCTCAGTGGAGCTGTCAAAAATAAATTTGACCTTCCAATTTACTCAGTTCAATTTTTTTGTTGTTTAAGAGATCGTTCCTGCAGAGAGGAGACTCACCAGCACTCAAGTGCCCAGGCTGAGAAGCCACAGATCACAATCTCCATTCTCCTTGGAAGAAAGCCCTTTCCCCTAGGAGGAAGGGAGGCTTGCAGAGCTCACAGCTGCCTTTACCCACATCGCACACACTTAGAATTCTGTTCTTTGGGGAACAGGCTGGGTCTGTTCTTTGGGGAACAGGCTGGATAAACCCAGGTCAGACCTCTGGGATGCCAAGCTCCAAGGGGTCAGTGAGGCACTGTGAAGTAGGTTCACTTCTGGATTTTATTATAATTAATACTCCCTCTCCCCATTTTAGGCATCAACATAGAAGGGCTTTTAATTTTCTAAGAACTAATATTAAACAAGTTTCCACAAAGTTAAATGTTAATTCCAAAAAAATAGAATAAAGGACAATCCCTTGGCTTGAATATTTAGTTTTACGAAAAACTCACTAAATTGTTCATTATTTTTCTTTTCCCCCACAAGACTCACTAACAGCCCGGGACAGAGCTGCGGACCGGTGTTCGGGAATCACTCGAGGGGAACTTGTCGCACAGATCTGGGCTCAGATCTGAACTCTGGTGGATGACAGCGGCGACTTGGGGCAGACCCGTTGGCGGGCGAGGCGTTAGCTCGCACCCACTCGGGAGCCGGCCGGCTGACACCCGGGGCCGCTGCTGGCACGTGGGGGCCTGTCCCCGGCTGCTCAGAGCAAGGCTGGACCCCCGGGGAGACTCCAGGGCGGGGACGACGACTGGGGTTCCGGCCGAGCGGGAGCTGCCCGGCCCGAGGGCCACCTCCTCGGGCGCCCCGAGCGGGGGGCGCGGGCGGCACAGGCTCCGGAGCCACGGGCCCGGGGTCTTCCTGTTTGCGGATGGCGCCCCCGCAAAGCCACCAAGGTTAGCCTGAGGAGAACGCGGGACCAGCAGGCGGGCCCGGACGCCGGGGCTGGAAACGCAGTCAGCCGGGCCCCCGCGAGCGCCGTCTGGGGAAACGGGGAGCGGGGCCCTCGTTCCAGAAGGCGGGACACGGCGCGGACACCCTCCTGAGTCCCGTCCCCTTCCACTGCCTCCCCTCCGGGCCCGCTCGGAGGCCCGGCGAGCACCGGCAAGGAGGTGACGGGGAACGGCCTGTTCTCGGGGCGCACGCGCACCCGGCCACCAACGCCACAGCCGGGCTTTCAGCCCGGGCTCCCCAAGTAGGCGAAAGGGCAACGGGGGAGGGAGAAGGGGGAGGGGTCCTGCGCGCTGAGGCGGCCTCCCATTGGCTCCCCTCGCTCCGCCCTCGCTCCCGATTGGCCGCCGACCGAGCGCACGGGCCGAACACGCTCTCCCGCGCCGCGCGGCGCTCGGCCGGCGACGGCGGCGCAGCCAATGGGAGCGGCCGGCGGGGCGGGGCCGCGGGCGCTGGGTCTCCGGGCGCGGGTGAGTTGGTAAACACATCGGGAGCGCGTGCCGGGCGCCAGCGCTGCGCAGAGCGCGCGGAGGGGGCGCGAAGGTGACCGCGGAACCCAGCTTCTTGCAGCCGGGTAAGGCTGCCGGCCGCCGCGGGCCCGGGGCGCCGTGTCTCTGCAGTGGGAGCTGGGCTCACCGCCCGCCTGGGCCCTTCTTGCATCCTCCTCCAGTGACAGCGCGGCTTCCCTTTTGCCAGTTTCACTTGCCGCGAGCTCCGGGTCGTGGCGCGGTGGGCGCGCCTCAGGCTGCAGGGTGGGGGCCCAGCAGCTGCCTCGTAGCCCCGTGCCCACCCAGCCCGCCGGGCCTGCCTCGGGGAGGGGACGAGGGCCGCGTGCTGGAGCAGGGGGGCGCTGGGCCGCGCCGAGCAGCCCCGGTGACCGGCCGCCAGTTGCCGTGCCTCTGGGTCGCCAATACAGCTTTTCTGCCTCGCGTTCTCATGATAATATTTCTCCTCACTCCCAGACCCCTTTGCAGTGTGTCTCAGGGGCCTTAATGGCCCGTGGCTGCAGGTTTGTGTCAGAGCTTTGATTCCTTTTGGCCCGAGCCAGCTGTTGGGTTTCACAGGTGGGCGTTTTGGGTGAACTTGGGAAAGGGGGACCCTTCTTGGTCCTTTCCTCTGTTTGCTTTTCTTTGGCCCTTCCTTCTGCTTCTCCAAACGCTGGGGGTCTTTTGAGTGGTCTGTGCTTAATTGCATAAACGTGTGCCTTTTCCCGGCCTCCACCTCCTCTGCCAAACCCAGACCAGTTCTCCCATGTGGCTTGGGGAATGGGGAAGGCTGCGGGGGCAGGTCTGGGTGCTGGGACTCTCCGTTTGGATGAGAGATGCCAGCCTCCTGAAGGGTGAGAGACTTATGTGCAGCCTCTCAGCCTGGGGTGGGCCTGCCGCCCCCTGGAAAACTTGTCCACGGGCTCTTGGGTCCTGGGTGTGCGTGACAGAAGACTGAAGAGCTGGATGTGCCAGGCCTATCTCTTTGCCAAAGGATTTGAGTATGCGCTGATGCCAGCCTGCCAGTTGTCGTGCTGTAGAAGGGCGGGGCATCCTGGCAGGAGGGCCTTTCTCCTGAGAAGAGACAAAGGGAAAGTGGTGGGTCAGGGGAGCAGCATCATTAAGACTCTGGCGACGGCTTTGGGCGTTTTGTTCAGCCTTACAGATAATGAGGACAGTGCAGGTTGTTATAATTTTTGGCCTGACTTCAGGCAGCTAACAAAAAGTGAACCAGGTGGTCTGAGCACTTCCCTGAGCATCACCTAAGACAGGTCTCCCAACTGTTGACATTTGTACTGGATAATTCCTTGTTTGGGTGGAGGGGGCTGACCTGTGCGTTGTAGGATGTGTAGCAGCATCCCTGGCCTCTATCCATTAATGCTAGTAGTACCCCACCTCACACACACTAGTTGTGATCCCCAAAAATGTCTGCAGACAATGCCAGATGTCTCCTAGAGGGCAAAATCGCCCTTGGTTGAGAACCACAGAGGTAGGACTCTAAAAAGAGCCTTCCCACGCTGCCAGGGGCCTCCTGGGAGCTGCCCGTGAGGAGTTGAGAGGTTAGGCACAGAGTAGTGTTGTGTCCCCTGCCCTACACCGACGATAGAATCCATGTAAATTGGGCTTTAAAGGAGACCCCACCTCTGCAGCTGGGGGGAGAGGAGACAGAGAGGAGGTAGAAAGCCATGGTGTTTACTGTGCCTGCTGGATGCATGGCACTCACTGGCTGCGTCTAGAGTGCAGAAGAAGTGGAAGACTGGTGTTGTCTGTCTTCAGGGCCTTGGCAAGACTGTGGGGGATATGCATATGAAATAACCGTGGGACAGGTTTTAAATAGTGAGCAAACAAGTTTCAGCTGTCTTAATGCTGGCAGAAAGGCCAACTCAATTATCCACCAGTGGCTTTTCCAAGGTGATGCTTTACTCAGCCTCACTTTTTGCTGAGACATGTCTCGTGTCTTGTGGGAGGGGGCCAGGCCTGCGTCTGCAGGGAGTGAGTGTCTGGCTGCATTTCAAACATACGTGTGGGTATATTTACATGTACCATGTGTTCCTCTGTGAAAGAGGCTACCCAGGAGTGTAATGGTGCAGCATGGACGCACGTATGATTTGTGGAGTTCCTTTATAGTTGATCAAAGTTTTGATGTCAAAGACAGAGATTTCTTTTGTGCAGAGAAAGATGCTTTACTTCTGAGTCTAGATCTTGCCTTCAGTATAACCCAGAATTTATGCCCCAAACTTCTAAGTCCCAAACTGATGGGGATGCAGAAAAGCTGAAAAACAGTGATTAGTGTACAGGGCAAGGAAAAAAATGCCAAGTGCCTACCATGAATTTCCCTTTCTTTGATCCATCAGTTGATGGATCCTATGAATTTCCCTTTCAGTTGATCCATCCTGTGGGGACGTATCAGGATTTTCCCATAGCATTCCTTGGTCAGTTAGGTGGTCTTTTGGGTGCTGTTTGTTGCCTATAGAAAAGGATCTGGACAGGGAGGTCACTTCTCCTTTCTCAAAAAGAAGTTTGGAGAAGTCTATTATTGGGAAGCTCCAAACTTGGCAGGATAATTTTCCATCAAGAGCCACGGACACTGAGTCATTATCTTTGTCAGTTGAAACAAGAGCTGTGTGCAAAATTAGACAGAAATATTTAGATAGAGAGTTGTCTTGATCTGACAGTGGCATCTGGAAATAGTTCTGGCATTCCTGCTAAATAACAGCCAGGAGCTTGGGAGAGCCAGTGGAAAGGAGAGCGGGTGGGAGTGGGGGAGTGTGAGGGTCCTGCTCCTTCCGGAGCTGCACCTGTGCAGGGGTGGTGTCCACTGGCCCTGAGGCGGGGCCAGGACCCGGAGTGAGATGTATCTGGGGGGGATCTGAGAGGGGCCTTCTCCAAGCACTTCGCGACCCCGAGTGGGTACCCGCTGGTCTGCCCACAACCATGTCCTTGTAGGGCTACAGGCTCCTGAGCCTTTGGCCTGTGGCTTTGAGGTCAGGGACCCACAGAATATTTAAACTTGGAAATGACCTTGAAAATCTCTTTTTATTCTTCATACTTGGGTGTGATTTGTTTTTAGTGTGTGCATGTACAGAAGTTGCATGAGAAGCTGAGTGTTTTTCACTCAGATTGCCATTTCAAGGTATTGTAGAATCGGTTGTGGTTGCATAGTGCCTGAGTCCTTGTCTCTAGAGCCCTTGACTCGCTTTTTTTAATGTCCTCCTGTTCCCATCGGGCTAGGGGAGAGGGGCTGCCTTTGATCCAAACCTGGAAAATCCCTGTGTGCCCTAAGGGTCGATGCCCTCCACATCCTGGCCTTGAAGAAAAGCCCACTCTGGAATCGTGGGTGGATCTGGTTATTTACTCCTTGTTGAACAAATATCGATTGCCTTATTTGCCTTGAGCATGGCATCGGGAATATAAAAGTACCCTAGACGTGGGTCCCTGACCTTGGGAACTGTAGGGAGGGGTATGCAGATAAACGTCCTCAGTGTGGTTTGCACCAGGGGCTCCGGGTCAGACCACTCCTAGCTGGTGGAAACTGGGAAGGCTTCTCGGAGGAGAAGGCATGTTGGCTGGGCCTCCGAGGACGAGCAGGATTTCAGCGGGAAGAGTGCGGGGGCGGGGGGCAGGGGGTGAGGGGCCAGTGCTTCCTAGACTCTGTGGTGAAGGACTAGGTTTTATTTTTTACCCAATTTGTTGCAGAACAATGCTTTTGCAAAACACAGTAAAAACATCATGGCAGTGCTAAATTGCCAGAAAAATTTCTAACAACTTCCTCCTGTTATCTCATCGAGGACGATAATACCAGTCCAAGGACCACTCTTTGAGTAGCACTGGTCCGGGCGGGGCCCCCTGAGTAGAGGCATTGGGTAGGTGAGTGCCTGGGAGTGAGGGGAGTGCAGTCTGGCTGGAGGGTAGGGAGTGTCAGGGGATCAGTGGGGCTGGGCTCCCCCCCATTTCCTGTTGAATCGGCCTGTGTGATCTGCCCTTGCGAGTTTAGGTTAGTTTGAGCAGAGTTTAGGTTAGTCCAGTTGTGCTTCTTGGCATTTTATCTCAGCAGTGGGGTTCCGGAGAGGGGAGGGCAGGAGGGCTTGGCATGGCGCTCCCGGGAATTTTCAGCTGACGGTTCAGTTCAGGCCAGAAAGGGTTCCCTGAGCACCCAGGACTCAGGAGCCAGCTGCAGGCTGGAGGGCCCTGAGAGGGAGGGAGGCGGCTCCCTGCCCTGCGTGTGCACAGTCGGCCGGGGAGACGCTGTGGACACCTACGGGCAGACTGCACAGGACCTGACAGGGGCACCAGCCCTCTGCTGTGGGCACTCAGGTGGAGCAAGTGCTGATTCTGCTGGAATCAGCCTTCTTTCTTGTGCCGGGAGGCCTGGGAGCTGGGGGCTGAAGGATTAGTGTCTTTCCCTGGGAGAGAAAAGCTCGGAAGCTGAGGCCCAGCAGAGGCCCAGGCCTGGGTGGCCACATGGGCAGTGCCGGGGAGGGGCACTCTGGCGGGCAGGTGTGTGCAGAGCTGGTGAAGGCAGGTCAGGGTGGGCGGGGAGGGAACCCAGTGGGGTGCTTTGTGAGAAGTGAGGGTGACCTGGGCCCCAGGTGGCAGGTGGGGGTGGGGAATACAAGGCATAGAGTCAAGAGAATGTAAATCTGTGCAGGTAGAATTTCTAGACTGGGCTGAGATTGCAGGTTGCGGGGAGGAGCTGTTTGGGTGGATGGTGGTATCACTCCTGAAAACGGGGGGTACAGGAGGAGGAGGAGCTGGTCAGGGGGAAGATGGTGATGTTAGTTTTAGCCATGAAGGCCTTGACGTGCCTGGGGGACTTTTTCCCATCCTTTTCTATTAAGATATAATTCGCATACAGTAAATCCGCTCTTTCTAGTATGCAGTTGCGTGGTTTGGCAAACGCGTATAGTCACATAATCATTACCACAGTCAAGGTATAGAATAATTCCATCTCCCCCAGATTCGCCTGTGCCCTTCGTCAGTGCCTGTGGGACTCCCAGGGGGTGATGTAGTGTGTGTGTATAACCGGGTTTGTTCTGGAAATGGTTCCGTGGTTGAGATGGCTAGCCCGGCCTGAGAACAGGGATGCACAGACGTGGGGGAGGCTGATGCAGCCCAGGGGACAGTGTAGGTAAGCCGGGAGGACCAGCCTGGGGACCCCCAGCCATGCAGTGGCTGGAGGAAGAGGACCTGAGAGGAGGGGCAAGAGTGAATGGTGGGAACCAAGGAGGGGGTTTTAGGGGAGCGTGTGGGGCCAGCGGGAGACGCTGAGGAGGGTGGTGGTGGGGTGGCCTCAGGTGGGTTGAGCCATCAAGTGGCCGCAGTGAGTGTCACAGAGGGGAAGGCTTGGGGTCGGGGCCAGACAGCAAGTGCTGAGGGAGAAGGCAAGACAGGAAGCACACGCTCTCCTTGGGAGATGTTGGCGGGGGTGAGGCTGAGGGAGAAGCAGAGTCAGGGGGGTGTTTTATATTTGGTGCGTGAAAGCTGAGAGTGGGTGTGTGGGCTTGAGGGGGCAGGCTTTTGTGGAAAGAGAGACTGAAGGCAAAAGAAAAAATAGTACAGAGGCAAAGCCCTGGTGGAGGAAGGAGGAGGTGAGCTGGGGAGGGTCAGCCGTGGGCTTTGGGTGGGGGGTTGGAGGGCGCTCACATCTGATGGCCTGTTTTTGGGGGAAGGAAGAGGTCAGCTACAGAGTGAGTGAGGCCTCTGCTTGATGTGAGGTGGCGGGGGTGGCACTGGAGGAGAAAGCCAGGCTCGCGTCCTGCCTTAGGTGCCCTCCAGGTCCTGCTCCTGCCAGCCGCTGAGGAGATGGGTGTTCCCAGTCGGAGTGTGTGTGTGTGTGTGTGTGTGTGTGTGAGAGAGAGAGAGTGTGTATGTGTGGGAGAGACTGTGTGAGAGAGAGAGAGAGACTGTGTGTGAGAGAGAGTGTGTGTGAGAGAGCGTGTATGTGAGAGAGAGAGACTGTGCATGTGAGTGTGTGAGTATGTGTGTGTGAGAGAAAAGACAGTGTGTGCATGTGAGTGTGTGTGTATGTGTTAGTGGGTGTGTGAGAGTGTGTGTGTGAGTGTGTACGTGAGGGAGAGACTGTGAGTGAGAGCAAGTGTGTGTGTAAGAGAGTGTGTGAGTGTGTGTGTGTGAGTGAGTGTGAGTGAGAGATAGTGTGTGTGTGAGAGTGTGTGTGAGTGAGTGTGTGTGTGTATGTGTGAGAGTGTGTGTGAGAGAGTGTGTGTATGTGTGAGAGATAGTGTGTGAGTGAGAGAGTGTGTGTGTGTGTATGTGAGAGAGTGTGTGTGAGTGAGAGTGTGTGAGAGAGTGTGTGTGAGTGAGTGTGTGTATGAGAGTGTGTGTGAGTATGTGTGAGATAGTGTGTGTGAGAGAGTGTGTGTGTGAGAGATAGTGTGTGTGAGTGAGAGAGAGTGTGTGTGTGAGAGAGTGTGTGTGTGTGAGTGTGTGTGTGAGTGAGTGTATGTGTGTGTGTGTGGAAGAGAGGCAGGGAGGGGTTTCCTGGCTGTGTGAGAAGCGCCCAGTCCCTTCCCCTCCTGCTGCACCATCCCTCTAGATTTTCCCAGAGGTGTGTTTCCTGAGAGAGAGGCTGTTGGATTTCCACCTCTCCTCCCCTGTGGGGCCAGGTCTGTCCCTCCCCACTTGCTATTTTCATAGAACGTCTAGAAGGGTCAGTACTCCAATTCTTCTGAGCGTTATTCTTTCTAGACCCCCTTAAATCCCAGTTTTCAGAACAGCCCTGGGCGGTGCTCTCTGGGTCGACCTTCTGTGCTCAAGGGATAAAGGGCCCTGTCCTCGTCTCTGGGAACTGGAGCTCACCCACGTCAGTCGCCTCATTTTCCACATGAGGAAGTGAGGACGGGCAGCCCCATGAGGAGAACTGGTGTGCCCGAGTCACACGTGGCTGGTGCCCCAGGTGGGCCCGGAACCCGGGCCTCGCTGTGCGTCCCCTCCCTCAGACCTCCCTTGTGGTGTCTGGGAGCTAGAGGGCCTGGGGGCCACGTTCCTGCCGTCTGCCGGGCTGGCTGAGCAGCCCTGGGGACTGTTCACACGCACACAACTTGCAAGTTGAAGTCCGGAGCCGGGGTGAAGCCCATTGTTTGTTGCCCGCCTGGCACAGTTTCCGTTTGGCAGCGATCCTGGCTCAGAGGAGGGTGAAGGTAAGAATAGATTGCTCTGTGACCTGCAGGTGGTTACTGTTTGATAGGTGCCCGAGCAAACATCTCACATCTTTCTGAGATCAAAAAAAAGTCGGTGGCTTTACTGCCTAGCGTGTTTACAGCCAACATTTGGTAAAGCAGAGGGCTAGGCCCGGGACTGCCGTGTTTCCTGTTCCAGCCTGCGTGGAGCTCGCTGTTAGTGGGCCGGGCCTGCTGGCTCTTTCCCCTTTTCCTCTCAGTCTTATAAGCAAGGAGTGGGGCAACTAGAGGAAGCAGTAGAGGGGCCGCGTCCTGTGTGGCTGCGCCACCCCTCCCTCCTGGCGTCTGTGCGCAGCCTTATAACCCCGCTGGCTCTACTCCTTTGAAAGTTGCTCCTCCTCCGTTTCTCGCTCTTCTGTCCCCACCCCATGAAAACAGGGGCGTGCTGCTGCTGCTGCCTTGTCTATGGCCGTGCACCGTCGGGGCTTTCAGGGTGGCTGTGGGCAGAAAGAACATTTCCTGGTGCTCAGCAGCCCTGGTTGTTTCTGGTTCTGGGTTCTAGAAGAGGGAGCTTGATATGCTAGGGACCCTGGGTACATACGGGTGTTGTAGTCCTGGTGTAGACGAGGGACACTGCCAGACCCTGTGGGGATTATAGAACTGGGTAGGGGAGGTCCCCTCTCTCCAGGAGCTCACCGTGCAGTAAGGGACATGGGACAGGTGCACAGAGTCCTACAGGGCATCTCAAGGTGACCTTAGGTCATCAAGAGACGAGGGAGATTAGAGGAAAAGAGGTGCCTTGAGGATGGGGGATGACCACTAGGGAGGGTTTAACGTTCCATCAGGATGGGTAGGATTTTGGCAGGGAAATGGTATTCCAGGGGGAGGAGGAGAGAGCAGCAGGTGGAAGTAGGAGAGCCTGTGTGTGTGTGTGTGTGTGTGTGTGTGTGTGTGTGTCTGTGTGTCTGTGTGTGTTGGGGGAGGTCCATTCTGGCTGAAGCGTTGGGGCATGGGGGAGATAGTGGGAGATAAAGCTGGAAACGTGTCCTGGGGTCCACAGTGCAGGGCCGTGAAGGCCAGGCCAGGGCTGGTGACCGTAGTTCTGCAGGCAGAGGAGAGTGGAGATCATTGAGGAAGCAGCCTCCTCTCTTGGAACCTGTCCTCGCTTCTCCCTCTGCCGAGCCTCTTCTCATTTCTCTTGCTGAGTGTAGTTGCCTGTCTAGGGTTGTTCCTCGTCGGGGTGAACTCACTGGGTTGAAAAACGATTGGGGTTTTGTATACACGTGAACTGCCAAAGGGTTGCATGTGGCCTCAGTGGCAGGACGTGTTAATTTGACCTCTATCCAGGGACCTGTACAAGTGTCCTTTCCTGGTGTGTGTGCGGTATTTGGAGATGCTGCTGGTAAAGCTTGGTACCCGGTGTCAGTGAGGCAAGACCGAAGGCCACATGCCTGGCGGCTCCTCCCGGCTCGTGCACACCCCGGGGTGGACTTCTTTGTGGGTCGCCTGCCTCTTTCTCCCTTTTGCGTCTGAGACAGAACTGGCCCCAGAACCAAGCTTTGCCCCTAGTGGGTGGGATCTCTGGTGCTGAGACGCTTGACGCTCTCAGCCCTGGTCTCGGAGGAGCTTTCCAGAAGGCAGAGTTTGGCCGGGTGGCCTTTGAGAGCCAGCCAGCTCCAGGATTTTTATCACTCAGGATTTTCTGCCACCAGGTGGATAGACACAACCTTGCTGTGTCTCCAGGAGAGTGACCATTGATTTTTAAAAAATGTTATTGATCTGGGGGCAGGTTTCTTATCTGCTTGCCTGTCAGCTTCCTAGGCAGTAAGAGGAAGGGCCTGGAGCCTGGAGCCAGACAGGCGTGGACAGGCCAGCCCCTGACTGCCGTGGGACTTAGGGAAGATTCTTCATCTCGCCGAGCTTTATCTCATCAGCAGATGGGGACAGTAATAGCTCGCGGGGTTGTTGTAGGATTAGGGGTGATGGAAAGTGACGGGCAACAGAAGGGGAATAATAAGTGGTAGCTATTCTTGTTATCAATACTATTTCATTGACAGTAAATCTGAAGTGGAAGTGTTTTGAAGGATTAAGCGTCTAAAAACTGAGGAGATGTGTTTTGAGGGGGGCTCTTACTTAGGCATTGTGGTCCCCCAGCCTCTGCACAGTGTCTGGCATGCAGTATGTGCCCGGTGATGGTTTGAATGGGGAACCGAACCTGGGAAAGAGGCTTGTAGAAGGATGGGGCATATTTATGCTGAAAGCCAGCAGGGCTCTGTCATCAGGAACAAGAATGTGCTTCGAGCCACCTGTGGGATATTCCAGCACCCAGCTCAGCGCCTGGGACTTGGTTGGCATTCAGTACTGTTTGTGGGGTGACTGAACTAAGTTATTTTAGAGGAATGATCTGGAAATTAATCTAGAATACAACCCGTCTTCCCAACCCAATGACTTGCCCTTTTAAAAATAGCCACTGTATTAGTTTCTTATTGCTGCTGTAACAAATTACCACAAACCCAGCAGCTTAAAATACCACAGATTTGTTATTTTATAGTTCTGGAGGTCAGAAGTCTGGAATGGGTCTCATCAGGCTGAAATCAAGGAGTCAGCAGGGCTGGTTCTTTCTGGAGGCTCAAGGGCAGAACCTGACCCTGGCTTTTTCCAGCCTCTAGAGGCTGCCCGCCTTGCTTGGCTGTAATTGCATCACTCCAAACTCACATCTCCTCCTGCCTCTGATCCGCCTGCCTCTCTCTCCTAAGGACCCTTGTGATTACATTGGGCCCATCTAGATAGCCTGCATCTCAAGATCTTTAACTTAATCACACCCGCAAAGTCCCTTTTGCCGCATAAGGTGACATATTCACAGGTTCTGGGGCTTAGGGCATGAACGTCTCCGGGTGGCCGTTATTCAGCCCACCACAGCCACCCACAGCATTTTGGCCAAATGTAAACACAGCTCTTTAAATATCGGATTTAAAAGAAACTCCTTAACTATAGCTCCAGGGTTCCCCACCCAGGGTCCTTCTTCACCTTCCTGTGTGACAGTGCAGGTCACACTCGTCATTTGTGTGCTCGGGCTCCGTCTGTGTGTGGGGGTGGGTGGGGGAGGAGTCAGGTGTGTGAGGCGTGAGCCTCCCCAAGAGGGGCTTAGAGTTTGGTTGAGGAGAAAAGATGTAAATGTGCCAAAGATAACTTACCAAACAGGGCAGGGTCTGACCAGCGCTGGAAGAGTCGTCAGCTGATGAGAAGACTTGAATTCGTGAGTGGAGAGTCAAGTGAGAGCCTGATTAGAAATAAATCCTTGAACGTATATGGTGTGTTCATACATTTCAAAGTGCTTCCACCCCTCTTATGTAGATTGGACATAAAAAGAGTTTACGCTGTAATTTCCAGATGGGGAGAGAGGTTATAGGATGGGTGAGGAACAGGCCTGGAGCGGCCCGGGGGCTGGTCAGCAGAGCGATTCCCAGGCCCCGAGGGAGGCTGGCCTCCCGCAGACGGCGCTGCCCTGTCTGCACAGCTGATGGGTGGGTTTTAGCTCTGCGGAGGTGAGGGGCTGGGCCTGCCTGCTGGGCGTGGGTGTAAGTGGGGGCTGGACAGGAGGCCTGGGGCCTCACCGTGTCACCTCCGACCTCAGGCTCGGGAGTTTGGGCCTCATTCTTAGACAGCTAGGGGCCATTCGAGCAAGGCTTGAATGAATGGACCATGGGAAGATTGATCTGGGGGCAGAGTGTGCTGTGGCTTGGAGACAGGGAGCTTGTGAGGGTCAGAGGGGTCCCCCCCCCGTCGCTTCCTGAAAATACCCGGCGGAAGCCTCCATGCCGTTTCGTCCTTTGAGAGTGGCATTGACCGTGTAAGGAACACCAGCGGGTGTTGATGGCCGGCCTGTTTCTGGGCGCTCCACGCAGGCCGCCGGCACGCTGGACCGCCTCTCCCGAGTGATGTCCCTCTCCACAGCGTGAATAAACCACTCTGGTCCCCGGGAGAGGGTGAGGCTGCCCCCTCACCCCGAGGCAGACGTGGTACTGTGCCCAGCCTTGGTGCTGGGATGTGGAGAAATGACTGGATTATCCACACTGACTGCACTCAGGCTCCCTCCGATCTCCCCAAGTCTGGACCTCACTCCAGTGTCTGTGTGGTCGGAATAACAGTCATCGTGTCTGCTCACAGTTCAGCACCTGCTGTGTGCCAGGCACTTGGTGCCCTCAGTGCTGTTACATGGATTATCTAATCCACTGCTCTCCAGAACAGACGGGGAAACTGAGGCACAAAGATGCACTTAGATGACTTAGGTCAGCAGCAGAGTCAGGATTTGACCCCAGGGCCCCGAACTCCGGAGCGTCGACGGCTTCATCAGTATCACTTCCTGAACCATGTATTTTTAAATGTTTTAAGCAGAAAATTTTGCTGGGTTTTTCGTCAGAAAATGACATTGCCGTCCGGACCCCGTGCTCGGCGGGTTGGCGTTGGGAAGCCGTGTTTGTGATCAGTTGCGTCAGCTCATCAGAGGCAGGACAGGCCACCGGGACCCTCTGTGCCGCCTGCCTGTGCTTTGGAGCCCTGGGCCCCTTTGCGGCGTTGGGCTCCTCTCTGGACCGTCATTAGGGGCTGGAACTTCTCCTCCTGCTGCTTTTATATCCCCTCCCCGCCAGCCCAGTGCCCACCTCAGGGCGACATACCAGGGAATCCCAAGAACATCTTAGTCTCCCAGTGGGTGGAGAATGGAGGCTTGCAGTCTAGGACATCAAAACACACTCTTTTGCTTGTTTTCTCCTCTTACCTGTTAAATGGATGCCTGGCTGCTGAGCCACGATAGATTCAAGTCGTGGCGGTACTTCTTTTAAGCTGTGTGACTTTGAGTGAGTTACTTAACCTCTCTGTGCCTTAGTTCCCTCATTTGTAAAATGGGCATAATAATAGTACCTACCATATAAAAATAATTGAGATAATACGCATAGAACACTTAACACAGAGCCTGGCATATAATAAACTCTCAATAATAATAGCAGCTATAGTCATCATTCTCATGTTGTGCTGGTCTTCTCCTTCTCATAAAATAAAACGTTTGGGGAACTGGTTAAATTCACTGTGGGAGAGTGTCAGAGTGCCTGCCGCTTAACAAGCTCTTGTGTGTGTTCGTATAAGAGTGTATAATTTTTAAACAATTCCAAGAAAAATCTCAATAGTCTGAAGCAGCTTTCAAGGGACCGTAAAGTCCTCAGCCTACAAGACGACTTGAGGCCCAGAAACGAACTCCTTTCCTCACAAGGCACGACTCCACTGTGTCATCCGAGCGCTGCGGGTTCAGATCCACGTGGGGTCCGTGGTGAGCAGCCCCGGCGCTCGGACCTGTCTGCCAGGGAAGACAGGATAGCTTGTGTGGCTCGCCAGGAGGCTGCCATGCCCCTCAGTCGGGGGGTCTGTGTGGGGCTTAAGGTGGAGGCAGCAATGTACATCCCTGTCTGCCTGTCTCTCTCCCTCCAACCAAGACCCGTCTTCCCCATGCCCACGCCTGGTGCTTGCCTGGCAGGGGGCTCTTGTTAGGGATGCAGTGAAAGTGCAGGAATGAAGGACGGATTAGACGGTAGCTGGATTTATGTCCGCTCGAGCTCAAGCTGCAGACTGACAGTGGCGCTTGTCATTTAGGGTGAGGCGAGGGAATGCAGGGGGCTGTGGTGTGGCCGTGAGCCTCCTGAAGTGGCAGGAGGAGGGAGAAGAGATGTACAGGAAGTCGGCATCTGACACCCCCTGCAGCCCCCAGGCCTGACTGCTTCATGTGCAGCACCCAGGGGCTGCCCTGCGCTGGGTGGTCTGGTAAAAGGTGGTCACTACCGAGCCCCTCCCTTTGTGTGGCTCCAGCCTGGGGCCTCTGGGGGTGGGCAGCTCTGTGTCTGGTGAGGTGAACCCATCTCTTGGGGTCAAGAGCAGAACTGTAATGGGGGATCTCACTCCACCGCCAGCCCTGTGGGCTGCTGTGATACAACCCTAGTGACCTTACCAGATTTCCTGGGACAACTGTGGTTATATTTTATTCTGTTGTCCTGAAATAGGGATTGACCAACTTTCTATAAAGGGCCAGATAGTAAATATTTTAGGCTTTGTGGACCATAGATCTCTCTTGCAACTACTCAACTCTTCTGTGATAACTGAAAAAACCCCCAAACAGCCATAGGCAATACACATGTAAATGAATGCGCTGTAGACAATACATAAATGAATGAGTGTGGCTGTGTTCCAATAGATGTTTATTTACAAAAACAGGCAGCAGGGCTGGATTTGGCCCAAGGGTTGTGGTTTGCTGACCCCTGACCTAGAAGGATACTAGTCATATTACATGTCTTAACTTTTGGTTCAGAAAAATGTAGTCACTGCACTTACTACATTATTCTAAACTAGGATCCTGTGTCTTTGGGGGAAAGTAATGTCAGGGAGGAGGAAAATTTCCCCCTACTTCTCTTGATTCTTTGGCTGGTCAAATAATAAAATTGACATAAGACAGGTTAACAGGAGAAAAACAAATTTAATATTGTATATTTGGAGGCCTCATAAGAATATGAGAATCAAGTGACCAAAGCAGACAGCTTTTATACCTATTAGACAAAGAAACAATAAATTTGTGAAGAACTGACAAGACAAACTTAGGCTTGGGTATTAATTCGTGAAGAAACCAAGCAGAGTTTGTTTACACAGCCGCCTTGGCCCTGAATTCCCTATCTCTGGTGATAAGGCTGTCTCTCTACCTCCTGGTGCAGGGAGGGTGCCTTTCACATGAGAGATTCATTTCTTTCAGAAATAAATCAGGGTCAGTGTCAGAGTGTCCTTCTTGCACTGGCTGTTTCTTAAGTAACTTTCATTCAAAATAATCAGTATGCCAAAGTGGCATTTTTGGGGCAGCCTACCCTCAACCCCATCATTTCTCTCTGCTGAGACTTCTCTGAAAGTTTCATATATTAAAAGCTGAGCTGATAGGTTGCTCCATTATTTCATTGAATTAATCTTTTAGTCTTGAAAGTAGGTCAGTTCAGTTAAACTGTTGTGTCCCATTTCAAGAGGCGGTGATGCAGGTAGGCTCCCATAGTTAGTCCTATGGTGCAAGCAATAAGGTATTTATAAAAGGCAATTCTATGGAAACAAAAGAAAAACAATGGTTAATGATTGGAACAAGTATAAACCAGTTTCTGTGTTCTGAGGGTAGCCAGTAGAGAAGATTTCTTGATGTCGGGGTTGAAGCATCTTTTGCAGTTTGAATGTCTCTGATGATGTCATCGGGTGTTCAGGCATACTTTCTGAGTGGCCCGCATAGCAACGGGCATGAAGATTGAATAAACATGAGTTATTGTGGTGATTTCTCTGAAGTTTATATCAAGTCAAGTTTAGTTTACATCAAGTTTGTGTTCAGTTTGCAGGCCTTCAGGAAAAAGAGCAGTTTTAGTTCTCAATGATTCCAAGTCAGAAGGGTGTGAGGAAAATTGGAAATGTTAGTTTGGAGAGTTATAGTGAGACACTGGAGGAAACTAGAATAATTCAGAATCTGGTCTAGTTAACAGGCAGAAAACAAACCTCAAAGACAGTTAACAGAACTAGAATCTAATATCCACAAGTGTGTATTATAGTTTCTACTGAAATATAATTTTTTTCTCTCTACAATCACCCCTACTTCTATCAAAGATAACTATAGTAAGATTAATTTATTGGTAAATTAAGTCTAGTTTCAATAAACTTGCCCTGATTATTTATATAAGTGCAGCAAGAATAGCAGTTGACCATATAGAATCTTTTAATCTGCTTTGCTAGAATTTTTCATAAGGAATCTCCGACTGGACTTTTAAAAGCCTCTTGAGGCTATGAAGCCAAACCAAGGACTTACCATCAGACTTCACTTGCAGTAGCTACAGATTTGGGTTAATTCCTCCCTTCTCAAGGTCCCCCAAATATTTTGAGGTTCCTGGGCCTGCCAGGAATTAACCTTCTCTACTCACCTGGTAAGGCTGCCAGGAGCCCTGTAAGCAAGGTACCAGGCCGATATATCCGAGAGGATTTATTGGCTTCCTAAAGTCAACCTTAGTTCTTTAAAGCTGTCTGGTCATATCTGAGTCTATGTACATCTCTCTCAAATATGACGTTTCAGTCAAAGCCTTGGTAATATAACCAGTGTTTCCAACTGTGTCCTGTTACAGGGGGAACACATTCTTATTGAACTTATGGAAATGACTATAAGGCCATGAAAATAAGAGTACTCACTGAGAGTTTCTGAATCCTGGAGGGAGCAGTTAGGGAGAAAAAAGATAAATGTTTCATCTTTGTTCATAAAGGTATATTTTACCAAATTGCTCCGAGTCATAGTTATCTTAAGAGGAAATGTTTCCTTATATCTGGAAAACAAAAGATTAAAAAAACCAGCAAATTTCAAACAAAAAGTCATAAAAATTATAATGATCCTCATCAGTTTGTTCAGACCCATATTATTAATTCTTGTTCTCCTTAAATCCAGTTTTTTCCATTGGTTCTGGAACTTCTTACCCAGTTAAGTTTTATGATCTTAAAGTTATCAGAAACCTGTACTTGTCAAAAAGTCCTTTCCAGGAATCTCCTTGAAGATGAAGCACTTTTGCAGGAAAAGCAGCAGAGTAAAACATAACTGTCCGTAAATGACAAAAGACTTGCAAATGGCACGGTTAAAGATCTGATGAGAGTTCATTACAGTGCAAGTGACAGGGAAATTTGGTTATTTCTGTGACATACAACATTTTAAGATAATAACTAGAATTATGACTGATAACATTATACCAGGACATATCAGAATTTTAGGAATTTTATAGAATTTCTAGAATACTTATATTAATAAAATATTTCCACACAAATGTTATCTAAGAAAGTTTATCACTTCTTTGACAGTGCTTCCCATGTAATTTAACAAACCAAATAAGCCTAATTAGTTTGACATCTCTCTTTTTATAAGGAAAGAGAATAAATCTTGAGTTGTTCGAGGGGCCTTCTGGAACATCTCATATCTCAAAGTTAGTTCTAAGTCAAAAATACTTCATTTAGAATTTGATTTTGGGGACGTTTGTCAAAAATATCAAAAAATTTGGACACTTGACTAAATAGGATCACAGATCATTATGAAATAATGATTATCTATTTAATCAAAGTGACAAAGACTTTATAAGCAAATGTTGAAGGTTACATAGTTCTGAGCAAAACTTAGCTCTTTAGTATTGAGAAGATTCAGTTTTCTTAAGTAATCAAAGACCTGATTAAGACAACATGAAGGGAGAGTGACGTCAGCATCATGGCAGAGTGAGCTTTCCCGTGAACTCTTGTGCTGATAAGATACAACAAAAGGAACAGTCACAGACCAACAACGGAATCCTAGACAGTGAAAAGCAAGATCGGAAAGATCCACACTGCCGCACATCTGAGAGTGGAACCTGCTGGGCCCCTGGAGGAAGTGAGGAGAGGTAAGGAGAACTCCTCTCCCTCCCCATCAGATCAGCGATCCCGGTCCACGTGGCTCCCAGAGAGGGGGGAGGGGTGGCCCTCTGCGGGAAACTGTAGCTCATCGGGCTCTCTCAGCCAGTGGGAAACTCCCACACAGAGGACTCAGAACTGCTACAGGGTACCATCAACATCTGAGCACCCCAGAGAGCGGATAACGAGGGGTGAATGAGAAGCCCCCCACACCAGGGACCCAGTGGGCAAAAGAGAGAGCACACCCCCCGACCCCGCCGCAAAGGGACCCTGCAGCTCAGCCTACCAGACCAGACCAAGCGACCCGAGGATCGCAGCGAGCAGACAGGGCAGAGCACAGGGGGCTCAGATTACACAGCCCTTTACCCCCACACAGTGGTGGCGGGGGGAAATTACAACCAGAGATTTCCAGGATGAGGAAAAACAAAGCCAATACAGGAACCACGATGCAAAGATACATGAAATCACCAGACCAGAAGGAAAATGACAAGCACCCAGAAACCAACCCTGAAGACACAGAAATCCATAA